ATTTATTTATTTATTTTTTTTCATTTAGCCTTTATTTACACAGATTAGTCTCACTGAGTCACGAGAACTCATTTTCAAGAGAGACCGGTTTTATTTTTTTGGGAGCAGATGGTGGGGGTTAAGGGCCTTGCTCAGGGGCCCAGGGTGGGGCAAATGAGGGTGGAGATAGGTGTGGGTGTTTCACCTTTCCACCCACATTTTTATGTTGATGGTACTGGGAGTTGAACCTGTGATTTTCCGATTACAGGCCCATCTCCTCTAACCTCTGCGCCACCACTCCCTCAAATATATATATATATATATATATATATATATACATATATACAGGATGAACAGTTGCTTTAAATAAATGCACAAAAAAAACCAAACAAACATATGAAACAGGTCGCTGGGAGGGCAGCTGTAATCAGATATTATCCTGTTTACCCCCCGCAGAGTGACTGAGAGGGCACTGAGTGACGCAGGTGAGAGGCAGGCGTCCACCAAGCCTCCAGACCGCACCTCTCTTATCTGCCAATGGAACGGAGGAGGAAGGAGTGACAAAGACCAGGGCTTTGGGTGTGATAAGCAAGAGTCTTATGTCCTGCTCTGGTCCTGGTGAGCACCATGGCCTTCCACTGTGTGTGTGTGTGTGTGTAAGCAGCGTCTGGCTGTGCACTGTTGCAGATGCAGAACACTGTAGTGTGTTTACAGGAGGATTATTGAGCATGCATCAGGATATTTACAGGAGGCTGCTTTGTTGTGGTGAATGACAGGAAGAAAGCCAGATACGAATGGAGAAAGAGGGTCAGGTGGAGTTCAGGGCAGATCTTTTGCCAGCTGATCCGACGCTGCAGGAAAGCCAAATTGCTTCCGGATCTATAGCAGGACTCCACCCCTGCGTAGTTCAGTGTTTAACCTCCCCACCTCCTTGCTGTTATTCCCTATTTCACATCTAATCTTTCCTCTTGATCCTCCTTATGGCTCTCTGCTGATTGCTCCTGCTGGGTGGTGTGACACAGTGTGACGATGTCTGCAGGAAAACAATCTTTGAGTAAGATACCTCGGTCTCTCTGGCAGTCCAACTCTCCTATGAACCCATACCAGTAGATCACAAGGCCAGGGCCAAACCTGCAGCACAAAAACAAACAAAAGTGGGACTTTTTATATGCTTCCAAATTTATATCAACAAAACACTTTTAGCTACGTTTAAAAACAGAAGATTAACCAAAACAGCAGAAATACATTTAGAAATTGAATAATTTGTGGTAGATATCACAGCTTGTGTATATTCTTTTGATCAACATACAGGAAATGTGTGCTGAATAAAACAAAAAAAAAAGCCACTTAGTAGATAAGGATCTTTACAAATGGCTGATCCACTTTCAGTCACATTACAATGGCAGTGAAATAACAATATTCTTAAAAATAACAAACACTGCACCGAGGGCCTCTGAATCCTGTCATCGGAATCTTGTGGCACATAGTGAAGCATGCAAAGGTCAACACAAAGTCTGAGACTTAAACATCCTGCTCCATGTCTGCCAGTCCAACAGTGTTCAGCTGTTTGAGTCACAGGCACTTTGACTGAAACTGAAACTGGATCTTAACTGGCTACAACTGCATTTTCTAATGGGAAAAAATACCATCATTTTCAATGTATAAGTCACAGTTTTTTGCATAAATTAGCACGACTGTACTTATACAGCAAAGTAACGTATTTATGGTTTTTCTCCCACATATTTATGAACCCAATTTTTGGCTGAGATCTGACAATGTCATTCATTCTGACATGGAAAATAATGAACACTAACATTTTCAGCCACTAGAGGGCTCTCAACTAATATGGCAAGCCAAGTGTCTCATTAATAGGTAAAGTGGCTATTAATGAGACACTTGGCTTGCCATACAGCCACCTTTGTCTTGATCCGCAACTCCTGGAGCAAACGTTAAATCAGCTGCATTTCACTGTGCTGCCCAGGTGATATGCAGCTGATTTGACCATTAAAGTGCATTTATTAAGGAAACGTTCAACTGAGACACACCTTTACTATAAAGTCGAGCAAACAAATAATTGTTTTCAGGTGGTTATCTTGTTACAGTTCGAAGAAATGCACAGCGAGTCGTCCCTCTGCGCGCTCCCGCAGCTGCAAATTGGATTTTGAAATGCAGCCGATTTGACGTCAAAGTGCATTTATTAAGAAAACGTTAGACTGAGACACATCTTTGCTATAATTTTGAACAAACAAATAATTGTTTTTAAGTGTTAATCTTGTTAAATTCTTGTTAATGTCCTCCTGTGCACGCTCCGCCGGCCACCATTTGGCAGCCAAACAATTTTTGGTACACCGGCCCACATTTCCAGGTTGCCAGTGGTGACGCATAATAGATGTGACTTATACGGTGAAGCAACATATTTATGTTTTTTCCCCACTTTATTAGACATATTTGGACTGATGCGACTTATACAGCGGTGCGACATGTACGGTGGCGAGTACGTTAAATTAAAAAAACTCGACGCTGTTTAAAGATGTATTTCTCTATTTTCTTGCCTTCTGCAGTAATATTTTTGGAGCTGCTACATGTTGAGGACACTGTAGCTATTGTATATTTTAGGCTCTGCTACAGTCCGAGATATTTACTAGGAAAGTGAAGTTATTTCACTACTTCTTTAAGAAAATATATCTCCTGTCAAGTTATTTAATAATCCTCGAAGCGCCACCCATGACCCTTTCTGCCTCATATATATCATGTCTATTCTTTGAACATTAGTTGCCATGCATAAAAAACATGTTCAATTTGAACTCTGGCTGGAGAGCACTTCAGCCCCGACGTGCATGACCTGTTTCAGGGGGGCTGACTACGCTCTGGTTCCAGATACTCCGCTCTCAGACAGTTAACAATGCTGCGAGGCCTCTGGAGAACTAGAAAGGAAGCGAACCGAAGGGCCACGGAGAGCAGTGGAAGTTCAGCTTCAAGGTAAAGTACATGAAACCTCGACCACGTGATCAGTCATTCGATGTTGAATTTTTAACTCAAACCCATAAAGTTGGTACTTTGATCGTGATATTTTGGAATTTTTAGCATTTTGTGATAAGATATTTGATGTTGTAAAGCTACAAGCAGCTGACGTTTAGTGAAATACTGTAAGAACATAAAACGAAAATATGATCTTCAGACTGAGCTGTTGTGCCATCATCAAATATTTTATTTTGACATTATATATTGAAATTAAATACTGTGACATTATGAAATATACGTGCACCGTGCTGTGTTGGCCGGAGCCTTGAGGCGGTGCATGTTTTACATACAGAACTTCTGTGGAGACACGCGTACAAGAAAATATGCGACTACACACACACCCCTCCCTCCAAGAGGCCCTTGCAGCAGTACATGCTCTTGCACTCCATCCTATGCTTTACAGTGTGTGATTTACGGTGCTGTATCCAAGAGCGAGCGGGCCAGAGCGCTCAGTCCTGCAGATGCACACTGCAAGTTCACCACAATGTCACACTCATAGCTCAGCCTCTCAGCACTGAACAAACTCCCAAACCCCAAAACTCTCATCATCTCCACGGTCCACTGCTCTACATGGCCACCGATTCTTAATATGGAAATGTTATGAAGACACAGCCTAAACATTTACATTAGACGCCTTCTGAAAAGAGGTTATGCTCTACTTTTCATTCAGCCGCCATGCTATATGCATTTCCTGTGCTCTGGCTGAATGTAAGGCTGGAAAGAAGGAGAAAAGGGAGCACGCTCTCAACAGAGTGCAGAAAGGCAGCCCTCTGAAAAGGTTAAAACTGTACATCAACAGATAAGGCAGCGGTGCACGATACATCATGTCCCAGGTCTGTCAGGGGAGGCCAAGTACAAATTGAAACTAGCAAAATTATAAACACTGGGGAGCCATGTCACCAAGGCCTTTCCATACCGTAAAGAAAACAAATGGTCTTTGAAACCTACTCAGCATTAATACAAGTCAATACTACAGGGACCTTGAGGTAAAAAAACCCGAGACGCAGAATAGAAACAATAACAAAGTGGGAGGGTCAGGGGGCAAAGACTACGCCTGATGAGATTCTTGGGGGAAAGTTCCAAACATCAACCAAACACTGCACAGAAATATGAAGCCTTATAAACTAATGTAGGCCTTAAGAAACAAATAGAAGCTCAGTTTGAATCTGAAGCAAATGAAGGTCTAATATGTCGGCTAACTTATTTTAAGATGGCTTATTACGCACAGCCTCAAAGTCAGACTCCACCATCTTCCAATAAACACCTAACTATATAACAAGATGGTGAAATTGTTTGTGAAATGCACTTAATTTCAGCAAGAAAGCCACTTGACAAGGCAGCCATGCTTTCGTTAGTGTTAATGAGCGGCTTGTGATCACATTTTCAGCAGGGGCCAAGCGTCTTACTATTACAGCTTAATGAGAGGCACTCAGGAACAAAAACCCTTGAATGGTGAAGAGGTAGTGTTATTAGACGACTGTGCACACGCAACACACCACGAAGCAAAACCTTCCAGCACAGCCGAGGATAGAACACCGTCTTTGCAATCTAAATAAAAAGTGTACACGCACCGTATGTAACTGTTCCACAGAATAGTGTTTCAAAAACACAAAGCAACAAAGAATTCAATGATTTGTCAAGAATTTGGTGCCAGTGTTTAATGGGAAACAACTTAAATGCCAACTGCATAAGGAAACAATCTTATTGCATTTTTAAATGTTATTTTTAATCTGATGCTAGCTATAGTTTTAAAAAAAATGAAATAGAAGGATGTTTACTGTGTTTCATTGTTTTTTTCTGACTGTCACAATGGATAAAAGTTAAGGATTTGACAAAGGCGAATGTAGAGCTGAAAGTGAAATATTTTCCTGTTGCCTCATAAATTACTTCTGTTCTATCTGCAACATATCACATTCTATATCAGATATATATCTAATATATATAGATATCATGTCCAATTATTATAATTTAATTTTTCCAAGTATGAACATAGTATGAATCATTCATATGCGTATACTGTGGGAGTGAACAGTTTGTGATGCATTAAAAATACCTTAAAGACAACATACCAGATTTTTCGCCCTATAAGTCAGTTTTTTTGCGAAATTTGCATGCACTGCGACTTTAACACCGAAGCTACGTATTTGTGATTTTTTTCCATATTTATAATCCAAATTTTGGCTGAGATATAACCATTTTCATTCATTCTGACTGAAAATATTGAATATCCTGATGCATGCTCAATAATCCTCTCTTTTGAAAATATTGAACACTACCATTTTCAGACGCTAGATGGCACTCGAGTAGTATGGCATGCCGTTGTGTCTGGCAATAGGTAAAAGTGGCTATTAATGACACAATCAACTTGCCATAGCCTGCCACCTTTGTTCTGCCCGCTTGGAGCAATCGTGAAATCAGCTTCATTTTGCTGCGCTGCCCCACTGTAATGCAGCTAATTTGATAATTGAAGTGCATTTCTTAAGTAAAAGTTCAACTGAGACAAACTTTTACTATAAAGTCAAGCTAACAAATAATTGTTTTTATGTGGTTATCTTGTTAAATTTTGAAGAAATGAGCAGTGACTTGTCCTTCTGCGTGTTCCTATGCGTATCGGCTTTTGAAATGCAGCTGATTTGACGTCAAAGTACATTTATTAAGGAAGAGTTAGGCTGAGACACACCTTTGCTGTAATTTTGAGCAAACAAATAATTGTTTTTAAGTGTTAATGTTGTTAAATTCTTGTTAAAGTCCTCCCGTGCACGCTCCCGCGGCCACCATTTGGCAGCCCATCTATTTTTGGCACAACACTTCCCTCATTTCCAGGTTGCCAGCAGTGATGCGTAACCAACGTGACGCGTCAGCGGTGACGCATAATAGATGTGACTTATATGGCAAAGAGACAAATTTATGGCTTTTTCCACTTTATTAAACATATTTGGACTGATGCGACTTATAGGGCAGTGCGACATGTACGGCAGAAAATACGGTATGTGGTTTGAAATATTTACTTTTTATAGCATCTCAACCTTTATTTAACCAGGCAAATCCCATTGAGATCACAGATCTCTTTTGCAAGACAGGTCTGGGCCTGAAGGCAGACTAACATGCAT